CTTCCGCCTCCCTAGAGCGCCGGCGGGGCCTCCCCGCGGGCCCGGGAGACTCGCAGCCCCTATTAGAGCGCCGTGTCGCGGAGGGCGGACGGGCTCCCGGGGCCCCGCCACCGCCAACGCACTCGCCGACGCACGCCGGGCAATCCAGGGCCTCGAGCGCGCTCCGTTCCACGCGCGCGCCGCCGAGTTTTATGCGCGTTTGCGCAGTTTTTCAGCAGGTAGCGCACTCTGCGTTTTGTTCTGGGTTGTGATTAGTTTTATTATTAGCGTCCTCCAGCAGATTTTATTAGATTTAATGAAGATACAATTTCAAACCGAAAATGTTATGTACAAAGAAATATGTGAAATATTCACATGAATGGCAACAGGTTATCGCATAATATTTTAATTAACGTATTGTTGACATCATTTGCATTGACATTTCATTTTGATATAATTTTTATTGACATTATTTTGATTAGTAATCATTTAAGTTTCAGTACAATCAACTGTTCAGATCCATTTTTTATTATATCAATATTTTAAATTTAGATCAAATTGTTTTATCTCCCGAATGAATTAATTTTCATTTGTTTTTTTTCTCAAACAACGTATATGTTGTCGATACCTACATTTAAAAAAACTTCATTCGTTCTTTCACTTTGTAATAAACAATTCATAAAAAAATATATCAAAGATATGGAACATTCTAATTTTGAAACTAATTTTTAAAATCAGCGACTCAATTACAAAAATTTTTAATTTAAAACTTAAGTTGTAAGGTCATTTATACGAACTCTAGATACAAAAAAGCTTTGCAGTTTTTCATTTGAAATACTAACAAACTTAGGGTCAACCATTTCGTTTGCTATTTTTTAAATACTAAAATTAAAAAATAACGCAGATTTATTTAACATTTAAAGTTAAATACATAATTATGTTAGAGACATCAAGTAAATTTAAATTCTAGCAAACACAAAGTTTTTACTTCTTAACAACGTTTGCAGATACACATACAAACTGGACTGTATGTAATTGAATTCATTTCTTAATACAATTTAAATTGCGAAGTATTGAGGACCCGTTAATATTAGAGGCTCGAGTCATCCCCGTTAGTTTTCGATAGCAAGGCTCCATTACAGGAAGTCCCCGCAATGCGCGGTGCGACCTCCTGTCCTTATACAGCTCACTCGGACCCCACATCTGCCACTTCTCGCTCGCCCTCCAGCAAAATGATATACTTTCCTCCTTCACCCCCTCCCACTCTCCCGAATCACACACTCACCTCGTCCAGCCGTCCTCGCCCAGCCCCGCACACCTCGTCCGCCCCGCCCCGCTTCCCTCACACAGCTCCTCAAGCTTCCTTCCGCTCCGCTTCCTCGTCCCATCCCGCTCCCCTCCCGCTATGCACGCCGCGCGCCGCCTCGAACCCCTCGTCCCGTCACAACGCCAAGGCCAGCACACCACTCCCCGCCCAGCACCCATCATCCTACATCCCATCAGGCACCCTGCCGGCTGAATGCCGGGCGATCCTCGCCCCGCCTGGCCGCCTCTCACCGTTTGCCACGCACCCTTCGCCTCGCCACGCGCGCACCCTTCATCCACACACGCCTTCCCGCGCCTGCACGCC